TCACAAGATATTATAGGCACTAGCAAATATTAAGGATATTTGTTTAAGCTTTTTTTGTTTTTACTAGATGGATCATAGTGGAGTCTGGAAGATTTGGTGCTCCATTAAACAACCTATGCTTTGGCTATTCCTACTACAGTATTCGGAGTGATAAAAGTACTGAATTCTGCATCTGTATCTTCTCCCAATTCTTCATCAACTTTCCATGCCACTGCAGCATTCATGTCGCTGTGTGCTCTCGCTAACTCTTGTGTCTATTCAAATCGGGAAATATGCTATTTGAATGTCAATCTAATATGGAAAAACCAGTTTGATTTGACCTGGACATTCAAATCAAGAGGTCAAATCAGATCAGTTTCATTTGGATTTCTAAAGTGAAGGGGAAAGGGAGGAGACATTTCTCAAATGCACTAAAATGTCATATCATCTAAACATCTTTGAAGGCATTTAAACAATTCAGTTTAGATATAGCCTTCACGTTGAACATGCATACAGTTATATGTTTTCAACTGGAACTGCTATTGGTACTAATAGAACTAGAAAATCTATTTCTGGATAAAACCTGGCTACGCTGTTACTAAGAGTTTGGTTTGATGGCCCATAATCAATCTGTGCTGCAGCCAAGAATGTAGAATGGGTAGGAATGTAGCTAAGGATTTATATTAGACTGAAATCAAGACTGAAGAAGAAGCAGGAATGTTTATAAGCCAGCTCGACCAATGCTGAGGTTCACTGATAGGTCCCAATCTGCAACCTGAGAACCGTTGTTCTGGATGACTGGGATCCCTTCAGTTGATGCCAAACCTGTTCCCTTCCCCAGCCTTTTGGACAGGAGTATAGGCAAGATGATGCCTAGCAGGGATTGTGATCCAAAATATTTAAAAGGACAATAGACTGCCCACCTGTATTAAACATTCCAGCAAAGCTGACTCAAGTCCAAATCCTTTCTCCAGCTGTACATTTCACATACCCCTGCTAGCCTTTATCTATATCCACTTCCTCACAAATATGAATCCAGTCAAAGTCAGGTATTCCACTGCCCCATGGCAGACATTTATGATTTAAACTAATCTAATCAAGCTTTGTGTTACAACACTTATCGGAATCACTTGACTTGCTCATGGGAAGCTTGTACTTCACTCTCTTCTACATTCCCTATATGTAGAGCTTTCACTTTTTTTCTTTTTTTCTTTTTTTTAGACAAATGACTTCTCTATTTCACAGAAGGTTATTGCTGGTTATATTGCTGTAAGTCCAGTTTGATCAATGCTTAATAATAAACATGTTCTCAAGTGTTGGCAGAAGGGGCTGACTTTCTGTCAGTCTACTCCAAGGCAACAGACTTGGCCCTTTTATGACTTGTGGACTTCAACTCCCAGAATTCCTCAGCCAGCGTGCCTGGCTGAGGAATTCTGGGAGTTGAAGTCCACAAGTCATAAAAGGGCCAAGTTTGAACAGCCCTGGTCTAATCACATCCAGGATTCTAAATACCCTAATCCTGATTTCAAACATTATAGGACCATATAAATATTCATTCCCCTGCATTGCAACAAGCTGTTCAGCAAGTGCTCATTCCTAAAGCCTCCTTCCTTTCAAGCAAAATCTGAAATAGAAAGCAGCACAAGAGCAAAGTCCTGGAATATAAAGGGAGTTACTATTGACCTGACAGTGGTCCAACTGCTGATTTTATCAGCAATCTTTCTTTAATTGCTTCAGTTTTTAAAACTCAGTTTAATGGTTTCAGCACATTTCTACATTTGTTTTGGGAGCTATCTGAACAAAGGTTCCTACAACAAAAGACTGAGGCCCATCATCTCTCCCTCAAAAGTTAATTGCTAACAGGGGAGGTCACAAAATGCACTAGTACAGGGGTAGGCAACCTTGGCTCCTTTATGACTCGTGGACTTCAACTCCCAGAATTCCTGAGCTAGCATCGCTGGCTCAGGAATTCTGGGAGTTGAAGTCCACGAGTCATAAAAGAGCCAAGGTTGCCTACCTCTGCACTAGTAAAAGTCTATAAGCAGACATGTATCCACCCCGGAACCTCGGCGGAACATTTTAGATTTCCAAGATAGAGAAATGCTTCTCAGTCAAAATTATTTTAACAGGATTCTAAAGTAAAAGAACTGTTTTATCATCAGCTTATTTCTTAAATATTTAGAGATTGCAGAGAAACCCCTGTTATTTATATTAATCCATGTTAGGTATCAGTTAAAAAAAAACTTGCAAGGCCTTAATAGTTGAAGGAGCATGTTGGTCCCTAAAGTATGATCTCCTAAAGATTTAATGTATGGTCTATATCCTTAGAAGAACTAAGCTAGTTGATATACCAAACAGGGCCTTTTTGGTTACAGCATCCATTTGTTGAACCTTCTCCCCAAAGTCAGCTTAGCTTCAAGTTTCAGCAAGTTAGAATGGAATGGAATGGAATGGAATAGAATAGAATAGAATAGAATAGAATAGAATAGAATAGAATAGAATAGAATAGAATAGAGACCTTGGAGGTCTTCTAGTCCAGCCCCCTGCTGGGAGGGGAACCTATACCATTTCAGACAAGTGACTAGTCTAGGCTCTTTTTTAAAACCTCCAGTGATGGAGCGCCCATGATTTCTGGTTGACCAAACCATTTTCTTCCTCAAGTTCACGTAAAAGTGGTATGACCAGCAATACTTGACTACATATCTTGGAATTAAATCTACCTCTCTGATCAGTGGAACACATTTAATTTCTCTATAAATCAATCTAAAATGCATTAAAAATAGCAGAAAAGATCTGAGCTCACTAAATTATTTAGGTAAATGAAAATTTTAAAAAAATTGAATAGGTTTATGTTTTAAAAAATGGGAAGGAAAACAAGATTCAGTGGCTGGAAACAACAATTCCAGCTTCCTGTTCAGATAACTGGTTTTCTTTTTTCCTACTCCTCTGCTTTTAAAACTTCAAAGTTCTCTATGCCCTGCAGGGTTCAAGATAGGGCCAGTTTCACTGAGACAATTAAAAATTCACCAGATGTTTAATATCAGGTTATGGTAGCTCAATAAGCAGTAAGTACTTGATTTGTTTTATTCTATGCCTTCCAGAGTTTAGGAAGTATGCAGGAAGGTGCCAATTATTTTTAAAGCTTTTTAAAAACTCAATGAATTCCTCTTGCTTTGATTCAACAAAGTAGCAAGGGAAGAAAGAAATTAGCATACATGAAAATAAGCCCCACTTATCACACCAAAATACCTTTACTTTTGATAGAATGTGATGGCAATAATGAAATAAGGTGACCTGACTATATTTGTGCAGTAAACCCCAACATGGCGATTTAAGTGGAAGGCAATACCCCATTTTCTCAAGTATCAACTGGGAAAGATAGCCTTTCTTTTTTTTTATTGAAAAGTTTTATAAAAGTTACAATATACACCCCAAAAAAACCCCACCCTAAACCCCCCCTCTCCCTCCCCCACTTCCCAGAGCTGAGTACAGGGTAACAAATATAATAATCATAATCTAACTAACATTAACCAACTATATAAATAACCAAGTCCACAATGTGCTTTAACTCCCCTTTAACATAAAAATAAACAAATTAAAAATAAACATAATAATATAAACAAGTTAATATCCTAATTCTTGAACAATACAATATCCAAATTGTTAAACAATACTAATACTAAAAATAATAATAAAACTAATAAAAATTCCACTATAAAAGATAGCCTTTCTTTAATCACACCCACTCGACTTTGGAACACAATACCCAAATGTAGCTTTTAGCACATTTGGAATGAAGCAGATTGAAGAAGGCTGCCCGGAGAGGATTTCAGCTTTGATGTACCATTAACCATTTAAGAAATAGTTTTATAAGGGAGGCGGAGTTGTTACAAAGAGTACCAGGCACCACTTAATCTCTTAATTCAGGTACAGGGAAAAACTGATGCGATCAAGTAGCGAAGCCCAAATCCTTCGAACGTTCTTTCCGCTTCGCTGATCTAACGCTAGGAGACATTGACAACGCCCCCTCCCCCCCCCCGAGCTTTAAAAGGAACACCCAAACTCGATTCAGGCCGCCGGATCACAGGAATGCCCGATTCTCTTCCCACGGGGTATCTCTGACGTCTGGCAACGCAGCAGACATCAGAGATTGGCAGGGGTTACATTGCAGAGCCTCTCTTAAATTTTTCATCCGAAATCTGCTCTCCGCTTCTCCGCAAGCCAAGGCAAGGGGCAGCGCCACGCAGCCGTGTGGCTGCCGGCAGGACTCATGCTCGGTTCTCACCCGGCGGAAGCCACCCATAGCTTTCTTTAAAAAAATAAAATAAAAAATAAAATGACGACCCGGGACCGGGGTGGCGGGTGGGAAGAAGGGGCACAACAGAACTGTTGCCCTCCCTTGGGTTTCTCTCCCTTCGAGTCCTCCTCCCTCTCTAGTCAACATGGCTACTCATGCTTTCTCAAGAGTAACGCAGTTTGTCGATAACGTCAAGAGAAACAACCTTAATCCCCATCGCGTCAAAGGGAATTTACGTGCCGGGGAAGAGAATCTAGAAGAGTTTGGAACTTTTTGCTATTTATCAAACAACAAACAGCGAAAACTTTTCACTAGCTCCTACTAGGCGCATCTATTTATCACGCCAGATCTGCTCGGAAACATACCATAAACTTTGCTTAACGTGCTTTCCTGCTTCTTCCCTCGCCCAACCCACTTAATTGTATATTAGCTTGGTGGCTCCAGCAGAGATTTTGTGCTTTTTTGGAGCCCAGTAATTGGCAGAAATTCAGTGGGGGTGGACGGTAGTTCCGCCGGCCACCGCAGTAGTAGCGTTCGGAAAACCTCGCGGAAAGAGGGGGGAAAAATGGAACAGGTGAGCTCTTGCCGATTCTGTGATGGGAAAGTCCTCGCCTGTTGAATTTCTGCCTTCCGCGTTTTCAGATCAACCCACGGACCTTTCGACCTCCTGCATTCGTAACCTCCCGCCTCTCCCTCCCGCGGATGAGACCTAGATTTTTTTTACCCGCTGGGCAACGTGGTTGTTTTCCTCTCCGTCCGCTTTCATTTCGTTCTCCTGCTCCTGCTGGGCAGCTTCCTGCTCGCCGCGCCTCGCCTCGTCTTTCTCCGGCAGCCCACGAATGAATTCTTCGCGGCACTCGAGGCCCAGCTTCTGCAGATGCTGGTCGGTCTCCGAGTCTACTACCAGCAAGCGCACCGACCCGGCCGAATTTCGGATGCGGTTCACTACTTGCTGGTGACTTTCCTTCTCTACGTTGTCTCCGTTCACTTCTATCAAGCGGTCCCCAGCCTTCAGACCGGATTTTTCGGCCGGGGAATCGGGCTCCACCAGCCGGATGAACTGGCCCGTTTTGCCCTTCTCCCCGTGTAGATGGAAGCCGTAACCGTTCGGCCCCTTTTCCGGGCAGCACAATCGAGGCAAGAGCCGCTGTTCGCTCCCTCCCCCGTTGTCCATGTTTCTCCTTCGATTGATCGAATGTCCCAAGAATCTCAACCGGAATCAAAGAGTTTCGAGTTACTTGAAGGATGCAAAGTCTCAGGCAAGCAACTTCAAGGGGCTAGCCTAAAGCAATCCGGCTGGCTGTCCTGCTTCGGAGCAGTAGCAGGTGTTTCCAGGGCTGGTCCGGAACGATTTGAGAGCAACAGGATCCCGATTACGAATATATTAAGAAGCCTCTGCTCCGCCAATCACAACTTTAATAGGTGTCTGAGCGTTCCAGAATGTCATTGACATTTTATCACAGGGGCGGGCACGATTACGAAGGATGTCGTTGGACCAATGAAAATCGGGAGAAAGGAGTTGCAATGCGCTAAGCACGCCTCTCAAAGGCAAAGACAAGTCGGAAATGGGAACGGAGGCGGAAACATGCAAATAACAATCCCCGCCCCTTATTCTTCATTGTATTTCTTTATTGGTTGTCCAGGTGGTACAAAAAAGTTTCACTTTCCTCCAGGAAGCCGGGCTGTTATTTAGAGTGTCGATACTTTCTTACCAGGTAACTATAACTTTTCTTTTGTGAAAAACAGTTCTTTTCGCACAGAAAACAGAATTCACAGTCGTCCTTAATGACATTTAAACCTAATTAAGTTTAAATAAATAAAATAAAGTTAATTAAGGACACAAGGGGTATCTTTCTAAACTAAGCTCTGAGCTACCTCACAATATTTACCAACTTATCTGGGAAACAGAAGAACAAGGAACTGGACATGGTATCATGGAAATAACTTTGGGCCACTCCAAATTGAACACCCATCTCTGAATAGCCTGTTGCCAACTATTTTTGAAGCTCACTGTGGAATCAAGCTTGTTTTATCCTAAATGGATACTGATGGACGTCTGTATGCCACAAACACCTTCCAACACTTCAAATTACACTCCCATGTGTCCAGGAGAGAGAGCCTTATGAGACAAAATGGATCTTATTCAGTCCTAAACTGATAAGATGATTTTAGCTAATATTTCTACTACTGTAAATGGGTAGATAGTTCAAATCTCTGAGTCACAATGTAACATATCTGTATAGGATCTCTCACAAGTCTTTCCTGAGAAACTGTCAGAATCCAATTATATTTCATCTTTAATTATCAAACATAGAAACTCCCAATTCTGCCTTCTCTGGATTCTGCCATAAGAGGGAGAAAAGGGGGAGAGCAAAGGGGCTTTATGGCCCTCACTTCCTTCAGCACACTTCAAAGGACTGAATGTGTGTTTATTGTGGCCTCTAAGCTTTAACATATCAAAGAAGAGTAATTGCCTTTCATGTAGTTATCTGAAGTCTCCATCCAGACGGAAGAAAGAAGAAAGGGGTGGAATTGTGATACTTGAAACTATCACTGGAAGGGGGGTTGATTGGGTGGGACTACTGGGGAACCCCTTAAAACCTTGAATGGGAGAGCTTGAACCCCAAGTCCTGTCTAGCATGCCTGCAACCATTTTCTCTTAATAAAGGATTCCTGTTGGAAGAGCTATTCCAAGAGTTCTGTCTTCTTAAGATGCAAAGTGGGGTGGGTCCTTACATTAGACAGGACTTGCAAAATTAATCCACCTGGAAGGTAGACCCTTGCCGGGGGATTTTGCAAAAATTTACCATGTCAGACAACGAAGCAAGAGAGGGAGAAAACTCCCTGGAAAGAGAGCCGCTGACCCAGTTGGAACCTTGCCAGATGTTGGGATCCGAGAGGCCAGATTTCTCAGAAGAAGAAGTGGTGGAGACACAGGACCACAAGCCTCGCTGGTCGATGGGCGTTGGAAAGAAAAGCGAGTGGGGAAAGGAATCAAGAAAAGTGACCCTGAGACGGGGGACCAAGCAACCAGAATGGAAGCAGGAGATGGAGAAATCCCTGCACGCAAGTGAAGAGGGAGGAAGCTGTATGCCGTACTCAGACTGGATCCTAGAGAGAGCTATTGACCTGATGAAGAGAACTCTCAGCTCCCTAGGAGAGGAGATTCCTGAGCCCTACGCCCGCCCCAGTTCCTGGAGCCACAAAGGGAGAGACACCGAGGGGGACGTGGAACCTGCAACCCCAGGGACATTTACTGATCCAGGAGCTCCCACCCCCTACCGGACCACAGATGGAAATCTGGACGGAAGACACTACCACCCACAATGGAGGCACCGATCCATTCCAAGACGTCCACCGTTGGAGGTGAAATTCAAAGGGGAGCCAACACGCTTGGGGTTTTTCCTAACCCAAGTCCTCAGCTACATGGAGGAATATGGGCAGGACATCCCCAGCGACAAAGCCCGCATCCGGATCGTGCAATCTGCCCTGGATGGACCAGCTGCAGATTGGGTGGTGAACCTGCATGACTCCAATGCCCCAGAACTCAGTAACTTCAACCGTTTCATGTCCTCGTTGAGAAGACGGTTTGAAGACCCCCTGGCTGATCGCAAAGCCCGTGAAAGAATAACAACGATGAGGCAGGGCAAACGCCCAGTGGCTGAGTATACACAAGAATTCCGAGCCATTGCCAGCAAACTGAATTGGCCAGAAGACATCCTCCTTGGCCGTTTCAAAGACGGACTAAACTATGATCTATATGATGCTTGCCTGCCCCGAGGAGACCCACATCGACTTGAGGAATGGTACGTCTTGGCAGAGGAAGCAGAGATCGACATATTGAAGAGGCATCGCCGAGGAAAACAATGGAGCCGCCCCCCGCCTGAGCTGACACACCAACCGGTGAAATCATCGGATACAGCCAAGAAGCAGATGGGGTGTTTCAAGTGCGGAAGAGAAGGGCATCGAGCTGTAGAATGCCGCTCAAAGGCCCCCCAGCACAACCCAGACAGATCCCCAATCAACAAACCCAGAGGGTATTCAGCTAAGCCAAAAGAAACAGCCATGAAAATGATGGAAATTGCAGAAACCCCCACCTCTGCTCACCAAGGGGAAAGAACTCCAGCCTACACCACAGGGACGGTGGATGCCTCAGATGACAGCTCGGAAGGCGAACCCCTGGTAAGTGGACGCATCACACCCATCTTCAAAACAGTGACTATATTAATCCCCCCCATGCCCGAAGCTGTGAAGGTGAAAGCCTTAATAGACTCTGGCTGCACCCGCTGCCTCATTAGCCCAACACTAGTGGGGAATCTGGGCATCCCATCCAGGAGACTGGAACAACCAATCTCATTTGGCCAGCTAGATGGATCCATAGCAGGGGGGGTGCCAGCTACCCTAGCCACTCTGCCAATACACCTCTCCCTGGGCAACCATGAAGAGGACTTAACGTTTGTGGTGACCCCAGGTATGGAATGCCCAATGATTCTAGGGATGGAATGGTTGAAAAAATGGAACCCCTGGGTAAATTGGAGGACGACAGAAATCAAATTCCCGAAGGGGGACCCTATGGACTTAAAACCCCAAGAGAGGCTACCAGAATCAAGAATAGAAAAAGCATCCATAGGAGAGGAAAAAAGATTAACAGAAATACCAGAGGAATATAGGGACCTTGCTGAAGTCTTCAGTGAGGAGAGGGCGAATGAGCTTCCCCCCCACCGACCCACAGACTGTACCATTGAATTCAAGCCTGGGGCAAAACTCCCGAAACCCAGATTATACTCCATGAGCCCAAAGGAGAAGGAGGAAATGGAAAGATTTATAAAAAAAAACCTGGAGAGAGGTTTCATTGAACCAGCTAAGCCTAAAGTGGCTGCCCCGGTCCTTTTTAGAGAGAAGAAGGATGGCTCTTTACGTTTATGCGTGGATTATAGGGCCCTGAACACAATCAGTGAAAGCAACCTATACCCGCTGCCCCTCATGAAAGACATGCTGTCACACCTATCGAAAGGGAAAATTTTTCTAAACTAGACTTAAGGGAAGCTTACTATCGCGTGAGAATCAAGGAAGGGGACGAATGGAAGACTGCATTTAACTGCCCCATGGGGTGCTATCAATTCAAAGTCTTGCCATTTGGATTACAAGGGGGCCCTGCAGTCTTTATGCAATTAATCAATGACGTTCTAAGGGAGCACCTGTTTAAGGGGGTCCTTGTTTACTTGGACAACATTCTTATCTTTACCGAAACAAAAGAAGAACACGTCAAACTTGTCAGAGCGGTTTTAAAGAAGCTGCGAGCCGCTCACCTATATGCCAAACTCTCAAAATGCGAATTCCACCAGGAAAGGATAGACTACCTAGGCTATCGCATATCCCCACAGGGCATTGAAATGGACCCAGAGAAGGTCAGAGCAGTATTAGAATGGGCACCACCCCGCACAAGAAAGCAACTACAAAGTTTCCTGGGCTTTGCAAATTTTTACCGCCAATTCATCCCCTCATTTGCACAGATAGCCTTGCCCCTCACCAACTTACTAAAAACGAAGGGAACATCCTCAGTAAAACCTAGCCAGCCACTAACATGGACAATGGAGTGCCAAGCAGCGTTTGAGAGACTAAAGAGACTTTTTTCTGCCGAACCAGTACTAAGGCACCCAGATATGGACAAGCCCTTCATAATACAGGCAGATGCAAGTGATGTGGCAGTGGGGGCTGTGCTATTACAAGAAAATGATGATGCAGTATTGCAACCCTGTGCATATACATCTAAGAAACTCACGGAAACAGAACAGCGCTGGCCCGTATGGGAGAAGGAGGCTTATGGGATACGTTGGGCATTACTCACGTGGCGACAGTTCCTGGAAGGCAACAAAATCCCCTTCCAGGTATGGACTGATCACAAAAATTTAGAAGCCCTGAAAACTTCCAGGAAACTCAATCCCAAACAAGCCCGCTGGTCCCAGCATTTTCACCAATTCCAATTTAAGCTCAAACATTTACCAGGAAGAAAGAACTTCCTGGCAGATGCACTATCTCGCATGCCCCAATATAACAGCGCACGAACCACAGACTCTAGACCAATAATGGCAGAATCACAACTGGCAGCGCCAGTAACCACAAGAACCCAAGCCAAAATAAAACCACAACTGGACAGCCAAACTGGGATTGAATTCAGAAAAAGTTTGGAAACAGATGATTGGTTCCAGAAAAACAAACATGTGTGCACAATGAGAGACGGATTGCCTTGGGTAGGGGAAAAGTTATATATACCAACAACTCAAAGACTAACTTTCATGCAACTTTGCCATGACACAAAATCAGCAGGGCATTTTGGATTTGTAAAAACTTTACACTTAATTAAACGGCAATTTTGGTGGCCATCAATAAAAAAGGACATAGAAAGTTATGTTGCCAGCTGCCCAACCTGTGCATCAGCAAAGAGGTTGCAAGGGAAATCGCCAGGGCTGTTACAACCAGTGGCAAGTCCCTCAGCCCCCTGGAGGGAAATAGCCATGGATTTTATAGTGGAATTGCCTGAAAGCAATGGGAATACTGTTATCTGGACAGTCACGGACCTATTTTCCAAACAGGTGCACTTTATCCCTTGCCAAAAAATTCCCACTGCAAAGGCCTTAGCAAAACTTTTTATCCAGCACATTTACAGATTGCACGGGGCACCCCAACGCATCATCTCTGATAGGGGAGTGCAATT